CGCTTCCCCCCTCTCTGTGCTCCCCCAGAGCTCACTTCCCCATCCGATCTTTGGCTTTCTCATTTTCTTTACTTAAAAAAAAAATTTTTTTTTGAGCCCGGAGGTGGTGATGCAAACCTTTAATTAATCCCAGGATTTAGGGAGGCAGAAACCCCGCCTCAAAAAACAGAACAAACAAACAAAAAACACCTGAGCGATGGTGGCGCACACCTTTGAATGCAGCACTCGGGAGATGGAGGCAGGCAAATCTCTGAGCACGAGGCCAGCCTGGTCTATAGAGCGAGTTCGAGGACAGCCAGGGTTACACAGAGAAACCAAAATAAAAAAAGCTGGGTTTTTTCTGTATTGTTTTGTTTTGTTTAGGACTGGGCGTGGTGGCACACGCCCAGTTTGGTGTTTGCCCTAGCAATTGGTAGGCAGAGGCAGAATCTGGTCTATACAGCGAGTTGCAGGACAGTCAGGGCTACACAGAGAAAACCTGTCTCGAAAAACAAACAAACAAACAAATAATAATAATAATAATAATAATAATAATAATAATTCTATGCATGAGTGTTTGGTCAACATGTCTATCTGTGCACTACTTGTATGCCTAGTGGTCGAACACACCTAAAAATAGCATTGAATTCCTTGGAACTGGAGCTGTGAGCCGCCACGTGGGTGCTGGGAACAGAACCCAGGGCCTCTGGAATTACGGAAGAGCTTGCTCTCTGGCCCCTTCTTTCCTTTTTGGCCATACTGGAGATCGGATCCAGATCCCCACACATGCTAGGCAAGCCAAGCCTCCAGGCAGCCCTCACTCTGTAGCTCATGCTGGCCTTGAACTTATTATGACCCTCCCGCTCCAGCTACACAGGTAACTGAACTACATTGGCTTTCCCCATACGTTTCAGATCCCACTATTCCCTCTGAGTTCTGCTTTCCCACGGGGTTTATCCAGCCCTTCTCTTCCTGAGTGTCAGCTCCCTCCCCTTTGAATTCTGCTCGCTACATCTAGGCCCACCACACTGCCCTCGGTGCCCAGTGGTTCCCTGCCCATTCCCCCAGGATATCCTTAGGCCCTGAGACACTCTTTTGAGTCTGCATCCCTCCTGCTCTGAGTTCTACTCCCGCTCCCATGATATGTCTATCCCTCTGCTCCTGCGGACACGCTAGTTCTGCCTCTGCCTGCTGGGGCCTGACTCCTCCCCGTAAGTCTGTCTCCTCCCCTAAGTCTGTCCCAATTGTGACTTCCACTGCAACCCCAGGATCTGTCCCCACCAGTAGATTCCAGCCCCACACTTTGTGGGGAACCCCAACTCTCCGTTGGCCCTGAAACCCCGAAGCCCGCCAGACCAACACTTTCCCGGTGCACCCCCAGCTCCAGGCCTCAGCAGGGCGCTGGCTTCCCCACCGTCTCTCTCCCCCGCGTGTCGGGCCACAAATGCATTTGGGATTAAATTTTCATGATGCAGCCCAGGAGGGGACGAGAGAAGCCGATCGAGCGGCAGGCGGGCGCGGAAGATCTCTGACAAGCCCCGGGGGAGGAGAGAGGCCGGCCGACCGGCCGGCCGAGCCGCGCACACGCGCCACCTGGTGGCTGCAGAGTCACCGACTGCGTGCGGAGGAGGCGTCCGCGGCTCCCGGCCAGGTGTGAGGGAGGAGCAGATGGTGAGGAGGAGGGTGTGGGAAGGAGGCCCCGCCGCTGCCAATTCCCCGGGCCGTCGCCCGCACCATCACCATGGCGACGGAGGAAGAGGAACGCACCCAGCCTCAAGCTTTTTCAGGACCTGGAAACTAGTCCTCGGTTGCCCAGGGAGGACCTCAGTCTGGACTATGCGCTCCAGTGGCCTTTGCACTTGAGAGTCAGCCCCCACCACCCCACGTTTCTATTTGCCAACGGCTTCTAGTTATAGTTGTCCTAGCTAAGAAGCCCTAAAGTCTAAGGCTTCCTTGCGCCCTCATGTGCGCAGGGCTTTCTAGTGTGCTTGCCGGCATTCTAGGACAGGATGCATCTCCTATTGTACAGACTAGCCTGGAATCCGTCATCCTCCTGCCTCACCCTCTCAAGGATGTTACTGCAGGCACACCCACCAAGCTTGGCTACGTGCCAGACAGATTAGACAGACTTCTAAGTTTACCAACTTTTCTCAAAAGTTATATCACACACACACACACACACACACACACACACACAGAGTGTTTCTCTGTGTAACAACTCTGGCTGTCCTGGAACTGGCTTCGTAGCCAGGGTAGCATCAAATTTGCAGAGATCTGCCTGCCTCTGCCTTTTGAATGCTGGGATTAAAGGCATGCACCACCAGATACACTGTCTGGAAAAGCCGAAAAAGAAAAAAACAAGTCAGGCAGTAGTGCGTATATATCAGGCAGTGGTGGCACAGGCTTTTCATCCCAGTCCTCAGGAGGCAAAGGCAGAGAGCTATCTCTGAGTTCAAGGCCAGCTTGGTCTATAGTTCCAGGACAGGTGGAGCTACATAGAGAAATACTGCACTGAAAAAACAAACAAACAAAACCTAAAAACTACATATATATTTGGGGGTGGAAAGATGTCTCAGTAGTTAAGAGCATTTGTTGTTCTTGAAGAGGAGCCAGGTGCAGTTCCCATCACCCTTACAAAGGCTCATAAGCAGACAATCTGGCTCCATCTTTTGAATTCAGCAGGTACCAGACAGCATACATGCAGGCAAACCACTGATACACATAAATAAATCAGAAGTGTGGTGTGTGTGTGTGTGTGTGTGTGTGTGTGTGTGTTCAGGCAGGCATGCCACAGTGTACCTGTGGAGGTTTAAGAACACTGTGGCTCTTGCAGAGGAACCAGGTTCAGGTTCAGTTCCCAACACCCAATGGTGGCTCACAACCCCTGTTAACTCCAGCTCCAGGGGATTCAACACCTTCTGACCTCCACAGTAGGTCATATACAAATGGTGCACACACAATACATATATAGAGACAAAACTGTCATAAGTGTAAAATAAATCTAAAAAAGGTCAGGTTTCAACATTATAAACAGCACCTAATAATTTACCAATATAATCGATATTACAGCATGGGGGTGGAGCTTGGAAAAGCACCTCAGCTGGAGGACAGCTTGCCTAGCATGCATGAAGCTCTGGTTTTGGTGCTGCATATACCAGTGTAGTGGTGCAAAGTAAACCCCATCAGTTTAGGGGAGGCAGGAACCCCATCAGTTTAAGGGAGACAGGAGGATATTTTCAAAGTCATCCTCAGCTTCCGGGCAAGTTTCACACCAGCCTGGGCTATATGAGACTTTTCTTTAATTCGAGAAAAAAAAAAGATAAAAAGAAAGAAAAATAAAAGGGGGAAGTTTCCTGAGGTATAACTCAATGGTATAACAACAAATGTATGCCTGACATTGTTTTTCCAAGGTTTCTCTATGTAGACCTGGCTGTTCTGGAACTTGCTGTGCAGACCAGGGTGACCTCAAACTCAGAGATCCGCCTGCCTCTGCCTCCCAAGTGCTAGGATTGAAGGTGTCACCGCCACCAACGCCTGGCCCACATATGCTTGCCATCAGAGGCCCTGCGTCCCCTCAGCACTAAAGAAGGGAGGGGATCCTGGGGGTAGAGTGGGAGTATCCCACATGTGGAGTCAGGAGGAAGTGAAGCTGGGACCTAGAGCGGGGTGTGCCTGTGACAGGAAGCTGAACCCTTCATGCAGTACAGGTAAAAGACCCTAGAGCTACTGCTTGAATTTGGTCCCACGAGAGCACCCACCGCATAGGGACCCTGAAGAAGAGGGCACTAGAGCTAGAAGCATGCAGCAGTGGCATGGCCGGACACCATCCTGTGGGACTGCTGAGGGTGCCAGGATACTCTGGGGACAATGGGCAAGTGTGAGAGGAGACAGGAGGCCAGGAAAAGCACAGAGGTTTCCAGGGGACACCAGGGTCAGAGCTGATAACCCTCCTCACTTCCACCCACCATGTCTCAATTTCTGAAACTGGAAAGAACTGGAAAAACTGTTTATTTCACACTTAGAAGACACCAACATCATCTCCACATCTGGAAATACAAGGGGACTCTGGTCAAGACACCGACAGGAGGGGCATGGACACCATCAGTTGCTGAGAAAAGAAAGAGAATAAGGAGTCAAGACCCTGGACTCCAGGTCCCAGCCTCCTCCCTCAGATCCAGGACTCCCTCGGGGCCCCCACCTTTCTCCTGTGATGGAAAGCAGCCCTGCTGGCCTCAGGGTTGATCCGCAGGGGAATGGAGGCATTGAGGTGGTACAGTTGCTGAGAACCTCCCATCACCAGGTGACTCTCTCCTATTTCCAGCGTCAGTCCTTGAGCTCCATCCTGATGATGAGGTACAGTCAGCCACATCCCCTAGCTGTATCAGGAAGCTATGTCCTCCACAAGATCATAGCATGCATGGCTGTGGCATCGACCCTCAGAACCAAACAATGCAGAAAAAATCACAGGGCAGCAATTATAAGTCTCAAGGAGCTCACACTCAGGAGAGCAGGGGCTGCACCTGCTGCTTTTCTAGGCCAGGAGAAGCAACATATGCAGGCCTGGGGACAGCCCACATCACTGCCTCCAGAGATATAGCCTGGTCCCAGGAGTCCAGGCCCCAGCCTCCTCCTTCAGACCCTGGAGCTTGGCTCCTGCCTCAGGCACACGTGCCCAGACTCTACCTCTTTTCCCTGACTAAAGAGCCTGCACTCACCAGCCTGGGGAGGTCAATTTCAGCCAAGAGGAGGTCAGGGGCTTCCAACCAAAGGTTCAGGTGGGGCCGTTCTGGACTGTATGGGAACAAGGGCAGACTGAGGGTGACCACCTGGTCTGACTGTACAGTACTTGGCTTGCTGTCCCTTTCTCCTTCACCCAGCTCTGTGTTTCAGCTCCATCTGTGTCCCTAGAGCCCCAGGATAGTCATCAGCCCAGATAGACATGAAGGCTCACCCCTGCAGGGTCCCCAGCTCCTGGATCCGAGGGCGCTGCCGGGAACGGATATTCTGCTGTGAGATGGAGCCCAGGAAAGGTCGGTACTTCAACATGCGCCATTCTGAGGGTTGCAGAACGAGAGATCGCAGAGACAGGGTTCCCTCGGATGGTGCTTCCCTGGGCAGAGGCTGGGCCACCTTCCCCTCTGACCATTTCAATTTTGACTCTAGAAGACCCTTCCAACCTTAGCCCCACCCTTTCTGGAAAATCATCAAGACACTTCCACCACCCCACCACCCCTACTCCTACTCCTACTCCCCACCCCGCCCCCACAAAGCCGGCTCCTGGCCCCGCCCCTTATCGGCCCCACCTTCACTCTGAGAAGCTCCACCCCCTTCGGAAAGCTGGTCTAGGAAAGAAATCCTTCTTGACACACGGGACTCACCTCTCCCAAGTGTGCCATCCAAGCCATTCCCATTCCCCTCCTGCCCCTCACCTGGATTTAGCTGTAAACCATACTTGTCCTCAAGGCCCTCCCTGGCAATGGTGACCACTAACTCTCGAAGGAAATCGCTGTTCTAAGGTGAGAGGAAGAAAAGATGTGATGGAGGGGGCGGAACTGGAGGAAACACCCTCCCCAGGCCTTGTCCATAACACACACCCCACCTGCATCCTCAGGTAGAAGTTGCTATTGACGGCGACATCATAGGCAGTACAGCCCTGGCCTTCTGTGGAAAGAGAGGTAATGAGGCTCTTGCAACCCTCCATGTAGTGCACTCAAGGAAAACTTAGCTAAGGACCAGAGACCCAAGACAGGGGAAGTAAGAGGCAGCACACACTCTGCTTTCCAGCCAACTGAGACTACATCCTTCTTGGCTTCCAGGCTCAACTCCAGGTTGATGCCCACATCCGCAAGACAGACCTTGATCGTCCCCAGTAATCCCAAGAATCATCTTACTCGATCCCACCCCCTCTTTAGAGAACACGACTCTCCATACTTGCAGTCTCTCCTGATTGTTGGTCCATCAACCAAACCACCATTTCCTCTGACACAGGTCAATTTTCTATATAGCTTAGGCTGGCCTCTAGTTTCAGCAATTCTCCTGCCTCGGCATCCCAAAAGCTAAGATTACAAGAGTGAGCCAACATTCCCAGCTCACTTGTCACCTCTGCCTACAACCCTCTTCTCTGACTTTGCCTGACTAACTCTTAAAATCTTTTTCGAGACAGGGAACTTCCTTTGTAGACCAGGCTAGCCTTGAACTCAGAGATCTACCTGCCTCTGCCTCCAGAGTGCTAATGGTCTGCCACCTGGCTAAGTGCTCAAATCTTATATCAGACCAGTACTCTTCTAAGTAGCCTTTTCTAAAGCCTCCTTAGCCTCAGGAAGAGCCCCAAGTGTGTTCCCTCCCGTCCGTGGGAAAGGCAGTCTCTGGAGGGAGCAGACTTGGTGTCTGCTGAGGGTACTAACTTGCATCAAGCTCTGCATGTGGCTCTCCCAGGCTCATGGGGATTCGGAAGCCAGCTTGGTCCTCCTGCAGCATCTGAAGCAGTTCGTCCTCAGTCACGTCCACCGGGGGAGGGATGGAGGGAGAGTGGCAGACGTTGATGAAAACTTTTCCTTCCGATGAGTTGGTCTTTATGCAGAACCCTGCACGAGTGCGTTTATCTTGGCCATCTGTCCCTAAGCAGTCTCACTCTCACCCACCCTCTCCCTGTTTTGAGATGAGGTCTCTCACTGATTGCCCAGGCTGGCTCTAGACTGGGGATACTCCTGCCTGAGATGACAGGCGTCACCACCACACCCAACTTCTTCCCCTCTTGTAATGCCTTTGCCTTCCCTCAGGTCCCTGACGTTTTCTTACTCTGCATCTCTGTGGTCCAGTGTTTGTAGGTGGTCTTCCTGCCTGTCCATTTCCATGACTACTTCTAGGCCTTGTACCCAGTTGGGATCTCTCTCCTTCATCCTGTGTCCCCTACCCCTAGTTTCCACTGACCTCTCTCAGGGTCTCCCATCCTCTCTCTGGGATACTCTACATCTCTGTCTATGTATGTGTGCGTGTGTGTCTACGTATGTACACATGCATATATAGTCCTATATATCTATATATCTATCTATATCTATATATCTATATCTATATTTCTCACCAGGCTGGGGCTGGATCTGTGTAGATTCTGGCCTGTCTGTCTGGGCTTGCTGGAGCTCTTTGGAGGCCTGTGGAGAAAGAGCAACCCTGCATGATGACCCTGCCCTGTCACACCAATCATCTGCTTCCCAAACATTTATACGACAACTCATGTAACAGCTGAGGATCACATGTTTTTTACTAATGTTATATTATCTTTCTGTTTGCTTTTTGTTTTTCGAAACAGGGTTTCTCTGTGTAGCCCAGGCTGTCCCGGAACTCACTCTGTAGACCAGGCTGGCCTTGAACTCACAGAGATCCTCCTGCCTGTGCATCTCCAGTGCTGGGATTAAAGGCATGCACTGCCACCCAGCTCACTTGTTGTACTATACAATCTAGGCCCCCCTTTTCTTTGCACGAGGACCTAATTCACCCCAACTCCATTTCTTTTAAAACCTAGTAAACACTGAACCAAACAACTACAATTCCCATAGGTCTCCATGCTGCCGTCGGGCATTCTGGGAACTGAAGCCGCATCTCTGAGCGCCAATGTACAAATCTTTTAAACACCCAGGTTCCCGTAAGCCCGCACCTGCAGTAGCAGCTCCTGAAACCGCACCGTCTCATCACCCATCGACTCTGCGTCGCTTAGCTCTGGTACCAGAAGCTTGGAGTCCGCCATGGCCCTGGGGAAAAAGTCCTAGGCGTCCAAAACGTGGAGAACTTTTCCAGGATAAACTAAGCCAGCCTACGGCAGGGCCTCAGTCGATTCTTAACACACAGCTCTTTACCCAGAACCCTAAGATCTGTGTTGGGAGTGGTCTACGGTTCCACTACGATGACGGCACCGTCCTCAAGTCTCTTAGGTCTCTTGATACGTCCTGTTTGGCAGACGCGTAAAAGAAAGTCACACTTCCGGCCTCTTTGTAACCAAGGAACTGAAGTAGCCACTCTTCCGAAGACCCTAACGCCCTATCATCCAAGCGGGCACCCACGTCGGCCATTTGTATTAGAAAGCTGCAGTTACGCCCCCCTAACCAACCAATCAAAAATAAGGCATAAGGAGGACCGTGAAATGATACACTTCCGGAATCCATAAAACCTACATTTCCGCCCTTCCCTAACAACTGCGGGCGTTAGACTGCAGAAAGGTTTGTCACTTCGAAAATTTAGTATCTCTGTATGTAGCTCTTGTCTATCATGCGTCAGGCTCAGGGTCCGATACCACCCAACACACACACACACCCTTAATTTCAATGCTATTAGCTGTTTATAAAGAAATAGTGTGTGGCGGGGGCGCTGGAGAGATGGTCCAGCATTTGAGTGCTGACTGGTCTTCCAGAAGACAAAAGCTTGATTCCAACACCCACAACGTGTCTGTCTCATAATCCCCTGTAACTCAGTTCTACGGGATCCAACGCCCTCTTCTGGCGTCCTGGAATACTGCATTGCGTGATGCACAAGACAGGCAGGTAGGCAAAACACCCATGCACATAAAATAAAGGCAAACCTTTGCTTGCTTTCAAGAAAAGAGAGTATTAGTGGTGGAGAGATGGCCCAGCGGTTAAGAGCACATGCTGCTTTTGGAACTGACTGGGTTCAGCTCCTAACACCACATGGTGGTTCACAACTGCCTGTAACTCCAGCTCCAGTGGCTCCAGCTTCTGGCCTCCATTGGCACTGTATGCATGTGCTGCGAAGACAAGCATGCAGGAAAACACCCATACAAATAAAAGAAAGATTAAATATCTTTATCTGTAAGGCAAAAGGAGGTGGATCTCTGAGTTCGAGGCCAGCTTGGTCTACAGAGAAAATTCTAGGACTGAATGGGCTCTACAGGCCAGAGCATGGCAACCATGTCTCTAGCAGGCCTGTCCTTCCCCTTGCCCGCTTGCTAAATAAATCATAGATCACATTCCTAAAGCTAGCTACCAAGGTCGATTCCCTTGTTTGCCACTTCCTCCTCCTGAGGCTGACCACCAAGGTCCAGCAGTCAATGTATTGAAGTCCAGCAATCAAAAGACCCCTTTTGGCTCACCTAATTAACACGGCCAATCAAAACAAACCAACTCAGGGTGGAGAGATGGCTCAGTGGTTAGGAGCACTGACTGCTCTGCCAGAGGACCTGGGTTCAATTCCCAGCACCCACAAGGGAAACAGCAACTGTAAGTCCAAGATCTGACACCTCCACATATAGGCAAAACAACAATGCACATAAAATAAAAATAAATTATATATAAAATATTAACAAAAGAAAAAGAAAGCCAACTATTCCTAACACAGAGTTTCCCCTTTTCCTTTTATAAACTCATTTGCCTGTGGGCCATGCCTGCCTCCACTTTATCCAGAGGCAGTCCTTTGTACCTCCAGGACTAATATCCTTCCTCCCCCTTTCTTTGCCCCTTTTGTTTTTTGAGAGAAGCCTGTCCTGGTGCTCTGTAATCCAAGCTGGCCTCTGCTCCTGAGTTCTGTGACTAAAGACGTGTTCCACCACCACCAGGCTTCCTTACCCCTTTTCTCCCCTCTCCCTTGTCTCCTCTCCCTTGTCTCCTATCCCGTCTCTGTCCCTCTGTCCCTCTCCTATCCCGTCTTTGTCCCTCTCCTTTATGCCGAGAGCTTGGTCCGGTCCTTTCTTGCTTTCTATTTCTTTTTTTGAGACAGGTTTTCTCTATTTATCTCTAGCTGCTCTGTGGAAGGGCTGGCCTCAAACTCAGGGATCCGCCAGCCTCTCCCAAGTGCTGGAATTAAAGGCGTGCGCCACCACCACTTTGTGACTGGTCCTTTCAAGAACACCCAGGGCTCCACAGAGAAACCTGTCTCTAAAAACAAAACAAACAAGAAGTTGTTTTTGAACTATCACTGAGACTCAGTGCCAGTTCCTGCTCCCTAATGAATTTTTGGACTAAAATCTGACTACCTGCCTCCAATTTTTGCTTTAAGGTAGGAAAACATCAAGAACACTTTTTCCTGCTGGGTGTGGCCGTGAACTCCGGAGGCAGAGATAGACCGATCTTTTTGAGTTTAAGCGGGCCTGGTCTACAGAGTGAGTTCCAGGACAGCCAGAGCTACATAGTGAGACCCCGTTTCAACAAAACAAAACTATTTTTTCTAAAGGGTCAAAATGACAATATGCCGGACACCTTTGACTAGTGCGGAGGCCGGCCCGCCAGTTCCGCTACCCACGAAACTACATTTCCCAGCGTCCCATAGGAGGCTTGGCATGGCTATAAAGTGGGCGGGACACGCCCTATAGCGCGCCGCCTCACCGTTCTTGTCGGCCCCGCCTCTTCGGCTGGAGTGGGCGGGGGCGCCCCTCCGCCCTTCGGACCTCCAGGTTCCCCAAGGCAGAGCGTCCGGCAGCCCTTCGTGGAAGGCGTTCGGCGAGCGATGGCGGTAACGCGTGTGGGACCTTGCGCCCGCGAGATTTTCACGACACTGGAGTACGGGCCCGTGCCGGAGAGCCACGCATGCGCACTGGTGAGAGCTTGCCTGGTGGCGGCATCGACTCCCTTCAGGCCTACCGGCCGCATTTGGCGCGGGTTCCCGTCATCCCCTGCGGCACCCCCGGAAACCCCGCCCCCTCGGCGCGCGTGATTCCCGTCCCGGGGACCGGACCCGGCCTGGAGCTTTTCTGGTGACGCTTGTGCGCGTGGTTCTCGTGTACGATCCTGCACAGCGGGTGCTGTTTCCTCAGAACCCTCCCGGGACGGGTGGTCCTCGCGAGGCCTCACACCTTTCTGGGGCCCTGCCACTTTTGAGGCTCACGGGAACGCTCAGAACCCCGCGTTCATTAAGAACGGACTGGGACCGCCTGCCCCTATCTGAATATCCTGATGTTGCTCCCCTGATCTCCGGCCCCTTTGAGTGGCCTATGAGTTCCCGTGACCCTCAGGGCCCGTTTGACTCCCCGCCCCCGTGGGGTTTTTTTCGGACATTTTCATATTTCGTAATCATTCCTTAAGAGCCTTATGACCCTGAGCGTCTTAGAGCTCTTGTAACTCCCAGGGTCTTCCAGAATCCTCTTGGCGTTCCGGTGGAATTTAGTAGGGTGCCTGGGTTTTTTTGCCCGTGGTCCCACAAACTCTTCCAGCATCCAGGCAGGTATTAGGGATGTTGGAGAGGCGGTGCAGTGAAAGCGTTTAGACTTTGAGGGGAGTCCCCTCAGTAGCCGAAGGGCTCCAACTTTGGAAGGACAGCATTGTAACACTCAAGTTTAGAGTGCTAATCCCGAAGATTCGAGGAGAAAGACCACTGACCCAAATCATCATGGCAAAATTAATTAAAGCAAGCCCCCCTGAGGCCTTATTCAAGAGGTCAGCCTTGAATGTGAGGAAGACAAGCTTTATAGCTCAAGGATTCCAAATGGGAAATGTGGCAGACAAGGTAGTCTTCGGGGTTACAAGAGCAAAACATAAGATAACAAGTTAGTTCTAAAGATCTTCCTGAAACAAATACAGGATTACAAGGTGATTGTATCAAGGTAGTCATAACATTTTGAAACAAAGGTAGGGTTGCAATAACTTTTTGAAACAAGGGCATGGTTGCCATTTCCTGTAACAGGCAGTACAGAACCATTTGTAGTTAAGGTTTCAGGTGGGGCATAGCCCAATCTTTGAGAAACATAGGTTTAGTCACAAGGATGGGCCTAGTTTGTCTTTAAGATGGCATTCAAACCTAAGAGAGAGGTAACACCTGCTAAGAGGGCAGGATCCCAACCCTGGTAGCTGACTTTTGGGGCTGGTTAGCTGTTCGTGCATGGAGAGTCCAGGATGGGATAGACACTGAGCTCTGGTGACATGGAGACTGGATCTGTCATAGTGAGATGGAGTCTGGTGTTGCTTGGCCTTTGTGTTTCTAGACACACAATTACAGTGGAGATGCCAACCAGAGAGATGCCATTGTAAAAAGATACTGCACAAGAGTAACTAGCGCAGCTGAGAGGATTCGGGACAATTCAGAGAATCACACAGATAGAGGCTTGTTAGAGGTGGAATGCCTGAAATAGCAATAATAGGTTGAAGGCAGAGATGCATGGATGAATGGGTTGTGCCGGCCTCTATGCTAAGCATGATTTTACTTAATCCCCCAAAGAGCAGACAGAATTAATCTTGTTATTTTAGTGACAGAACACAAGTTTGATGATGTGAGTCACTTTACCCATAATCCACACAGCTTAAAGGAGTTGGATATGGTGACACATACCAGTAACCCCAGCATTTGGAAGGCCAAGGCAAGAACTCAATTATGAGTTCCAAAACAGTCTCAAAAAAAATGCCAGAGCTGGGCCTGTCACCATGCCTTGGGTTCTGGACCCTTCGGTTGTCCCCATTACTCCCAACAAAGGTCTCAAGTTTACAGTCTGGGCAACTTAACCAGCAAACATGTTTTCCTTGGCTTGAGCTTTGTTTTTTGAAATGTCAATTATTGTACAATTAATTCCATCTAAACATCCTGGATTCTAATTTCTCTCGAAAATAAAATTCCAAAGTTTGGCAACCTTTTGGCTGTAGCTCCCTGACAGAACTCATCTGGAACCGATTGTCTAGGCTACTTTGGAGACATTTTAAGCTCTCGGTGTCCAACAGGCACTCTTCTCCCACCCCTGTAGCCTGCCAGAACCTTGTGGACATTCTTGTGGGAGTTTGTTTTTCCTTTTGGAGGGAAGTTTTCCATCCTTTACACAGCAGTTGCTATTAGGAACTCCCATGGACTCATCAATCAACTTCAACAGTTAGAGTTTAGTCCAGAGTTCCCTTGTGTTTTTTTCTTTTCTCTCAAGAGCAGTTTAAACAAATACCAGCTGTCATGTTGCTTTCCCATAAATGTTTGAGTCTTTATTTCTAACAGATAATAGTTTTGTTTCACAACTAGCACTCTGCTACTCAGTCTCATAGCCGTAACTGACATTTATTAGTATTTAATGCCCAGCTCATGTTCCCATGGCCCCACTTCCAAAATGGCTCTGTCCCTATAGACACTGCAATTTGGGACTTTTGGGTGACAAATTTTTCTTTCTTTTAAATAATTTATTTTTATTTTATGTGCATTGATGTTTTGCCTGCATATATGTCTATGTGAGGATGCCAGATCTGCTGAATCTGGAGTTACAGACAGTTGTGAGCTGCCATGTGGGTGCTGAAAATTGAA